GAAAGTACCAAAAAAAAATTTTTTGNTTGATAATTATTGAATCAACTATATATCAAACCTGTTGAAAAATATGAAATATTAATTAAATGAATTTATGTTTCATATTTTAAATTACCATCTTTCAATTATCATCATGAGTAATTTAACAGCAATACTGAACAGCATAAACACACTTGAAATACCTAGTTCTGTTAATTTTCTTTCTGCATCACTCTTGGCTTTCATATTGTACTGACCATGACGAATCATAAATATGTGCCTTTTAGCTATTGGTGCTTTGCTATCAGAATCTTTTAACCTTTCTTTGTCCCCAGCTGAAGCATCTCGACTATAATAGAGGGTGAAAAAGAATGTTACACTACTGAAATAAAAAAACATTTTAAAAAAAAGAAGGAAAAAAAAAGCAAAGAACCAAAAAAAATTTTGTTTGATAGATAACATAGCACTAGAGTAAGGATGCACAACCAGCGGCCTGTGGGCCATACGTAGCCTGCCAACTGTTGATGTGCGGCCCGCAAGAGCTTCCAAACACAATTTTTTTTTTGAAAAATAGAATAAAAATTGGAATTTCTTGAATTTCTCTTCACAAAATATTGAATCTTGATATGCACTATAATAGATAAGTTTTAATTTTTACTTAAACCCTATAAATTTTCTTTAAAATACTCAGTGCAATGTATATTACTCATTAAAATAAGTATGTATGTAGTTTTTTTTTTACACATTTATTCTATGAGCAGTGTAATTTTTTTGTTTTGTTAGAGTTTATAGTATCTATATCTATAGATAGATAGATAAATCAGTTTATTAATAAAAAGGCAAGAAAAATATAAAATATTAGTTTTTTTGATTGAATGAATTTTAATAATTAAAATAATTTAGTTTTCTGAAAATATGTTATGAAGTTTATTGATGAAAATATTTATTGTTCAGAACACCAATTTTAAGATAAAAATTTTCATATTTGCCGTCAACATGCGTGCGGCCCTCTGTTAGTCAACCTGCTGTGCAAATCGCCCTTTACTCAAAAAGGTTGTGCACCCCCACACTAGAGGTATAATAATGTGCTATTGGTACAGTTGGCAAAAAAAATAAGATAGCAACCTGAATAACTTTTGTTCTAATGATCGGATTTTCACACACTAAGTGTCAATCTTAATGGCTCCTGGAGGTGACCCAAATATGCAAATTATTTAGCGCTAAATATTAAAATTATTTAAGTTACAAAATCGGACACATAAACGTACTTTGTCTGAATAAACATGTATATATTTTTATTTCAAGGCATGGAAGTACTTTCATTCTCAGTCCTTATTGTGCGAGCAACATTGGCCATATGATATCCCTGAAAGAGTGGCCAACAAATTTGCCCTACTGATACCTGAATGATGAGCGTCAATCCGGTGGGCATAGGAAATAATAAACTAACTTATAAATATTAATAATAACGCTTTATTTATCAATACGTATCTAATTTATATAAAATTAGTCACAGGAAGTTTCAAAATAAAATATTTTATTGTTGTCTTCAATTTCTGATCCTGATTAAATATTAAAACTGCTTATTGATAGATCAATTTATTGAATGCTTATTGATAGATTTGAGATCTTGGTAAACAAATAAAGTTATTATTCTTTCAAACTATTCATGAAATGATATGTTCAGTAAAAACTTTTTATCGCATAACATATATTGCCACAATTATGTTATAGCTAATTATACCTCTACTGCAACTGTGGGAAGACATTTCACATTTTCATTTAATTTAGCTGAATTGGCAACAGCTTATTTGTCCATGACTTGAACACATTATTATCAATAACAAAAATGTTTTCTTTGTTCAATTGGCAAAAAATTGCCTTATTCTTCTAGAAATTAGTTATTTTTCAACAATTTATGAATAGACTATACCAGCCTTTGTATTTTCTATATGTCTGTTTCAGCATTGAACATAACAAATATGCTACTTTTTTTAAATAATTTTTGTAGTGCTTTTTTAGTTTTAAATTAAGCAATAACATTGCTTAATTTAACTAAACAAATTTAGCAAACTAAAACAATTAAGATTAATTGTTCATAAAAAAAACTAAAAGTTGAGCCACTCAAATTGAACTTACTTGTCCCAATTATGATTCCATTTCACAGAAGGTTCAAAATTAGTTGTCCAGGAATTCTTAACTGCTGTTTTTTCAGGTTGAAAATAATTGAAAATACCAAGTACAACACCACTTCCAGCAATTGCATACATCCATTTAGATCGTTGAGTTAGAACCATAGTGACTTTAGCTAACCAACTATGAAGAAAAAAAATTACATTTTTATTTTAATTCTTTCAATTCTATAATATAAAAACAGCAATAAGCAAAAAAGAAATAAATACTAAATAAATAAATATTTTTAGAACAAATAAATTTAAAAAAAACTGATGTCTTAAAATAAAATAATTTTACCTTTTTAATGCCATAACAAGCATAAAGGATTGACATAATTATGGAAATTTTTAAATATATTACAAGATACTGGTTTAAAATGATAGATGGGCATTATTGCCCATATAAGCCAATATAGGCATTATTGCCCCCCCCCCAGTAGGTGATAAAAACTTTTAGGGGGATAAGTTTTGAGTACTTAAGTGATGTTAGAAATTTCTAGAGGATTGTTAGCAAACTATATACTAATCTCAACGGCAGCCCCTGCGGGCCAAGGCCTACTGTGCCCATCTCAGTTTTCTTGACCATGGGCTCTGAGGTGCATGAGCAGATGCTCCGGTCAGGTGGTCAGCCGAACGCGGATCCCCCAGTGTTTAGTTCCCAAGCGTGCTTGGGGATGAAAGGCTGAGTCAGCCTTGCCCGGCCCGAGGATCAAACCAAGGACCTGTGCACGACAGCGCGAGGCGCTACCGCTCAGCCACCGGGCGTCTAACAAACTATATATGAAATTTATATTTGCCCATGCCTTAAAGTACATAATTTTTTTTTTGCTATTGAAAAATTATTTAACTTTTTAACTTATTTGTTTTTGAAGCCGTAATGTTATTAAATTGTTTTCTTAAAAAAATGCATTTAATATTCATGATAAAACGAAATACTAAACTGTGATCTTAGTAGGAATTTTAAGCTTTCTTTTTTTTTTTTGTAACGAAGCTTCTGCAGCTTCTCTAAATTTCACCTAAAAGGCTAATATATCCTTTAACTTAAGCATACGTTTTTTTTTATTAATAAAAATATGTAAATATATTTTTCTAGAAATAAAAAATATATTATTCTAGAATTTTAAAATATTTTATTGCTTGCTTTTTTCCCATTTTCAAATTGAAGTATTTTCCAGTTAGTTTATTTATGTGTTTTCGCTATAGTTTAATAATTCAAAAAGATATTATCAAAATATAATTAACTTCGGATATCCTATTGTTACCTTATAAAATATAATTATCTGATTTAATTTTGAAATATGTTCTAGTCGTTATTAGTTGTACTAAAAAACATAGATGATAGATTAAAGGTTGAATTAATAACAATAATAAAATGGCATCACTAATTTCACATGTTTAATAATACAAAAAAGAAAATAATATTTAATTACGCATTTAGAATTATTAAATTCAGTACACCACTTTGCAACTGCAAAGTGGTATGCTCAATTTATTTTTCTACATACAATTAAAAATTTTAAGTATCAGTTATTTTCATTAAGATTAATATTAAAAAAATATTTTCAAAATGCATTTATTATTAGGTATAGTTTCAACAACTAAAAGGCAAGGTTGCAGAAGTGTATCATACGAAAAATATGAAACGATTTAAAGAAAGACACAAACATTTTTATTAATTATTTCTTTACTGAGATTATTGTCTAAAATTTCATTTATTTATTTTGCTTGGAGCATTTTTTTTTTTTTGGCTTATAAAGGTGACAGTGGTTAAAACAATTTTAAGCACATGCACAACAGCTGGAATAATGGGCTATTCGCAACAGCCTGAATTTATCATGCAAGAACAAAACTGGCACATGCTGCACTACTACAATTTGAATCAGATGGTGGAGGTAAATATCCAGTCTCTGCACCACATCTAAGTCACAAAAAGTAAGAACTTTTCATAGATATATTATTTTTATTTTATTTATCTTTTTCAGAGTATTTAATATAATTTGGAGTATTAAGAATTTTAGTTAATTTTGTTATCCTTCTTTAACAATGTTACATGATCAGAGGTCTGCCCAGGCCGAATTTACTCCCGTGTAGCGGTACCTTCACAAATTCAACTTTAGGAAAAACAGTAGTTTTATAAATTCAATTTTAGGAAAAATGGTAGCTTCACAAAATACTTTTTCTTAAATTTTTTTTTTGTATCCCTTAAAAAACGATAAATCCATATTTTTGTGTTAATTTTAAATATAATTTTTAATTTTTCACGTGTCTAAATTTTCACAAAATAGGTACCTCTCAGAAAAATCTAGACAGACCCCTGATGATACTTTCTATTTTTTTCATTCTCTTTCATGCTTATCAAAAATGAAGCGACAAAAAATGATAGTAATAAAGACATTTCAATATCTGAACATGTCTTTGCCAACTGAAATCCCCCCAAAAAACTGTCTGGTTCTTAAATTTGTAATAATTTAAAAGAATAAAGTGGTTTTCATTCAAATTGATGTATGTTTGCCACATTTTCCAATAGTTTTTTTTTTCTTCCTCTCAGCTTCTGCCTGGTTGTTACAAAAATTTTGTGACAATAATTATCACTGGCACTTAAGAAACTAAAAACAAATCGCAGAATCTAACAGATTATAAAAATTTTAAATTAACTCTACATACAACAACCAGGCAGTTTAGCTTGATGCTTTGAAAATTTCACTTGGCACAAACAGGTACGGAAATGGAAATATCTGCCATGTAACAAGTCTGGAATCAGGATGTGCACCGTCTTTTCAATGATGCCAGATAGTGCGAAGAGAAGAGAAGAATGATTTCTATATTGGAACCAATGACAAAAAAAAATTAGCAACTTCATTCAATCTCACTGTAACTCTTTAACACCTTGGCAATTGTAACTGACATATAGTTCAGGTAGAGATACTAAAATTTTAGCCGGAGAATAATAAAATAATAATTTCCTCGCGGCCCGTTGCCCAGAAGTTGTAAGACTTGGAGATTATTCTGCTACAGATGAAAATCTCCCCTTAATCCTGATAGAAAGAGACAAATCAGATAGATCAAGATTCGGAAATAAGCTATAGATTGATTGATTTTCCAACAGAAAATTATGAATTTGGGCACAAAATTTTTAAAACATAATAAAAATATAATTGTTAAATTAAAATTATTGGTTAAATCCTAATATACGTTACACTTTTAGAGCTGGTTTGAAAAATATCTCCTAAGTTGAAATGGTGCGTGGACGCTTGTGGCCAAGTATTGGTATCCGCGAAAACCTAGAAAATCGTTTTCTGAAATAGTTAAATATTTAACATGAAAAAAAGTACATGAATAAAATTTTATCGCATTCCCAGACATCGCTAATCTCACCAAGGAAACCGGGTAGCGTATACTAGGATTAACACAATTTATTACATTACTTCAAGCCCTTTTTCCTTATAATAAAAACATTAAAAACACGGTTACCATAAGAATTTAACAACCCGGCTTAACGCATTTTGAAATAAAATGTTCATTTCAGAACAAATCATTCATAATTACCGAATACTTCTGAGCGTTGAAAATTTCCGTCTTTTGCGTGTTGGATTAAATATTTTTTATAACCGATCACAAAACATTAACTAATACAAGCCGAACGGGCGTTAGTTAAGAAACACATCATATTAATTATTGGTTATAGCACTAATTTCAAAATTTAATAGACAATACAACTTCTGCTTATAGCTTACTTAGTGAAAGTTTTTATAAATTTAAATTAACGGGTGATAAAGCGAAAATGTTACTTTAACTTCTACTTCTTTTAAATTGGGAAGACTGTCTCAGCCAACATATTTCTAAATGTTTGGTTGCTTTATATATACTCACCACTTTGAATCTCCTACTGTTCTTTTCATTTTAAATCAAGATCACTTTTTGACCCCCATGTAATAATCGTATATGTTTTAAAGAAATTGTTATTTAACAATTTCAATCCGAGAAATTAAGTGCAAGAAAAGAGGGTTTCATAAATTATTATTTAAATCAAGAGAAGTTTTTGGAAGAGACATGTATATTCTAATAGGAAGGAACTTATATAAATAAAATTCATAAAGTTACTTTGTTAATTTAAATTATAAACCATCTAAATTTGTAATTTTATTTAATAAATAAAAAGTTCACTTTTGAGGTTCAAAGAAAGGAAAGGACAGCAAAAATATTATGAAATATAAAAAATCAACTCCTATCCCTGAAGATATGTCTTATGTTTGGAAGTACAAAACTGTTTTCTGTTTATTTTTAACATGATTTTATTAGGAATGAAAAGCAAAGCAAAATTTACTTTTAAAAGCTATATTAGAATGAATGATAAATTTTGGGGTTCATAAATTAGTTTACTAATTTTGCTTTAAATTTAATTTTACCAATTTTGATGCACAATTAGTATAACTAATTCTGAAAGTTTAGAATAACAAATGAAACTCAATATTGCTTGTGATTACAAAAAAAAAAAGGCTAATATAATTGAAGTTCTTCTAAAGTGTAGTCTGAATATGATTTTACAAAATATGAATTAATCTTAAAGAGATATAGAATAATAAGATAAATACATTTTTAAAATCAATAATGCACTGTATTTCTGTATTAAATACGCGTATTTAATACAGAAACATCCAGTACTGGATGTCCTGATAGAAAATTATATTTTATGCCCATTTTTTCAAAATTAATTTTAAAAAAATGCTCAATTGGATTGAAATCTTGATTTGCCTGAATGTAAATGCAATATTTTTCAGAGAAATTTCGGTTTATAGTCACTTTAAATTATAGCATCATCTTTTGAATATATTTCTAGAATTGTAGCCTTCCTACTGTTGAATTACAGTTATATTTCTGTAAATGTTCAATTAAAGACACGGATGTTTGCATCTGTGCCATTTTTATACCTCCAGAAGGTGATTAATTTTCAAAATTATACATGTAATCTGTTAAATAATATATATTGAATATAAGAGGTACGCAATAAACATTCAAAGGGCAATCGTAAAATGACAAAGGAGTGTGATAGATTTTCAAGGAATATTTTTTTTCGTAGCTGATATTTCATTAAGATCAATAAATCGGGGATTTCCTAAACTGTGTTTTGCAGAGATCTTCCAAGAGTTTCACAAAATTATTTGATTTTTAAAAATTTTAAACTCAATTTAAGAAATTCTAATTTTTATTTTTCCTATTCGCTAGAAAAATAAAAATAATGACCAGAAACGTAGCAAACCTAAAAGAAGCTGAAAAAAAAACTGAATATTTTACTCTTCAGAATTTACTGATGAAGTGAGTGAAAAAGGGTATCATCCACTTTGCAGACACATTCACCTTCCATCAGTCAGAACATAAAATACAACATTTAAAATTAGAAACTTTTTGGAATGACAATAATTAGTTTGTAATGCAACATCCTCTAACAGTATAGTCTTCACGCATGGGCATAATCGGGCAATGTCCGGGGCCCCAATTAATTAGGGCGCCTTTGAGAATCTTACTTTCAAAAAATTGTATTTTAAAAAGAAAAAGGAGGAAGAATTGCATTGTTTTATGAAGTTTAAAAGAAATATATTCTATTGCATACCTGCCAACTTTTACGCATTTGGCGTAAANAATGTTAAAAAAAAAAATTTGCGCTGCTGGCTCGGCTCAACCGGCCCTCAGGCCTGACCGGCCCACCGGGCATTTGCCCGGTCTGCCTACTGGCCAATCCGGGCCTGATAATGACCAGAAAAGTAGCAAACTTAAAAGAAGCTGAAAAAAAAACTAAATATTTTACTCTTCAGAATTTACTGATGAAGTGTGTGAAAAAGGGTATCATCCACATTCAGATGCATTCACCTTCCATCAGTCGTAACATAAATACAAAATTTAAAATTGGAAACTTTTTGGAATGACAATAATTAGTTTGTTAATGTTTGTAATGCAACATCCTCTAACAGTGTCGTCTTCACGCATGGGCATAACCGGGCAATGTTCAGGGCCCCAAATAATTAGGGCACCTTTGAGAATCTTACTTTCAAAAAATTGTATTTTAAAAAGAAAAAGGAGGAAGAATTGCGTTGTTTTATAAAGTTTAAAAGAAATATATTCTATTGAGTAAATGGAAGGAATAAAATATATTCGATTGGATAAATCTATTCTAATGAATGTAATTTTTATAATACATTAATTATATTATGCAAGTACAGTACTAATAAATTACATAAGTATTAAAGTGAAAGTAAATTATTTCATGTCTCATGATCTTACGTACATTAGTTTAATGTAGAGTTGGGTGGTTTAAAAATATGTGGTTAAGCATCATATAACTGAATAATTTTATGTACATAAATTTTTTGTAGCTGAATTTTAAACAGTATGATATGTTATATGGGCACAAAACATTTTTGTGCCCCGGGTTACTGCATGCCATGAAGACGGCCTTGACCCCTAACAAAGAGTACTGTAATCCAGAGCAATACATTTTATATGTTGTAGTGAATCTACCACTACAAACATATAATTCAAATTCACTAGTATATAAGACATGTTAACTCGATTCTATGGTGGGGTTCCTTTTTTATACATGAAGGTTGATATTGTTGACATTCCCAGTAACTACTCTCCCCACATTGGTGACCCGGACGTGATGTGAACATGTCTACCTGGACAGAAACTTCCAATTCGATCTGAACACGCCTACTTCGATGGATGATCCACATAGAACAGTTGAGTTGCTACTTGTGACTGCGACATTACCCGACTCCTCACGCTGTTGCTTCTCATTCTCTCTCACACGCAACGTATACACTCGCTGCTAAAAGCAACACAGGAGCGACCATGACCGTGAACTTAATATAGCTCTCACGATCAGCACTAAAAAAGTACGGTGATCTTAATACAGCTGTCCCGGCTTCTCACAAAACAGCAATGAATCAACCATACCATCCATTCATCGAATTCTATCACAGATATATTTCTGAAGGGGGGGGGGTACTGTAGTGTAACTACCACTACGAACATATAATTTCAATTCACTAGTACATAAGGTATGTTAATTCGATTCTATGGTAGGGTTCCTTTTTTATACATGAAGGTTGATATTGTTGACATTCCCAGTAACTACTCTCCCCACATTGGTGACCCGGACGTGATGTGACCATGCCTACCTCGACAGAAACTTCCAATTCAATCTGAACACGCCTACTTCGATGGATGGTCCACATAGAACAGTTGAGTTGCTACTTGTGACTGCGACATTATCCGACTCCTCACGCTGTTGCTTCTCATTCTCTCTCACACGCAACGTATACACTCGACTGCTAAAAGCAACACAGGAGCGACCATGACTGTGAACTTAATATAGCTCTCACGATCAGCACTCAAGAGGTACGGCGATCTTAAAACAGCTCTCCCGGCTTCTCACAAAACAGCAATGAATCAACTATACTATCCATTCATCGAATTATATAACAGATATATTTCTGGAGGGGGGGGTACTGTAGTGTATCTACCACTACGAACATATAATTTTTTCAATTCACTAGTATATAAGGCATGTTAACTCGATTCAATAATGGGGTACCTTTTCATAGATGACGGTCGACATGGTCGAATACTCCTCTCCCGACATTGGCGACTCGGATGTGATGTTTACCTTGACAGAAACTCCCAATTCGATGGTGGGGTTCCTTTTCATAGATGAAAGTTGACAATAACTACTATAATAATTGTCGATAACTACTAGCCTCACAAATGTTGTTAAGAAAATATATGATTGGAGTGATTCCACATTAGACGGACTACTAGAGCTTATCATTTTACTCATGATTTTTTTGAATATTTTTTTTCTCCAATGCCCACCTGTCTTAACATCCATCAATTCAGGCATTTACAGGGCGATTTTGCTGGCTTCTCTTTCAGGGGCACCATATTAAGTGGGCCAACGTCGCTCCCACAGTAAGGACAGATAGTACAGAGAAGGAAAGAGCATCCATGCCTTGCCCGGGATTCGAACCCAGAACCTTTCTGATGCAAGGACAGTTCCCAGTCCCCTACACAGGTTGGTCGGCTTTTTGAAGAATATGAATAAATAATTTTTATACATGAAAATATTTTTGAAATTTAAATTATTATTTTTTTTAGTTTAAAGAAGTCTAACTAAGGATTTTTCCCACACTATATTAAATATTTGGCAGGAAAAAATAATTTTAAAGCTTCATACATTAGAAAGGCTAATTTTATGTTGCTCGAAAAAAAAAAAAAAAACAAGTAAAACTTCTTGAGTTCATAAACCAGTTGAAATAGTTACTGCTTCAGTCAAAATTCAGCACTGAAATAGTAGAATAACATGAATTCTAAATATTTTCACGCACATAAAATGTTTGTTTGTTTAGAAATAGGGTAGTGGGATAAAACACCGAGAAATAAGGCCTTCGAGATCACCAACAGTTGACCGCAACTGATTAGTCGCCTCTTTTAAATATTTGTCATTGAACAACAGCATCGTTTGTCCGTCGATTATGCTATTCTTTAAATCTATTATTATAGTATAAATTTTAAGCATGCCAAATGTATGTGTTGTACCGAAATGTAAAGGTAATTATAAAACTGGGCTTGAAGTTTTAATTGACAAATTCCCCTAAAACAGAGAAATTAGGCAAGAATGAATGTATTTGTGGAGAGAGTTGAAATCGACAACGACAACCTTCATTTATCCAAAGGTTGAATCAAGTTAGCTTGCCTCACACACTAGTGAATTGGTGTTTAATAATCGTAGTACGCCACAATACTTCACCAACAGAATTTATCAGGGATAGAATTCGATAAACGGATGTCACAAGTTGTCGTATTTGCGAAAGACCGGGTGAGCTGTATTAAGTTCACCGGACTTTGAGCGCTTGTGTCGAGAGCTGCGTTAAGTTCACCGTTCTGTGTGTAGTCTCTCCTGTGTTGCTATTAGCAATCAAGTATGTGCAGGATCCCGTTGAGTAAATGAGTCTGAGAAGCAATAGCACGATGACGCAGTCACAAATAGCAAGTGAACTGTTCAATATGGACCATCCATCGATGTGGGCCCTACTTCCGATGCAAGCGCGTTCATATCACGTCTTTAGGTCACCAATGTAGGGAAAGTAGTTATCGACAATGCCAATCTTTATCTATCAAAAGGTACCTTAAGATTGAATCAAGTTAGCATGTTTTATATGCTAGTGAATTGATGTTTAATAATCATAGCGCGCCACACATTCAATTGAACGCGACATTTATCAAGCAGCAGCTGATAATAGCAAGTACCTGCCACTGCCCGCTTTGAGAAAATATCTTTTTTCTCTGGGGTTAGAATTAATAGCAACTGCACAAGAAAGGATTAATTTTCAAAGCGATAAACAAGGTTTAAAAATTAAATATGCGTAAATATATGGAGGAACACACAAAACAAAATTTAGTTATTTATTTATATTTATTCATTTTTAAACTTTTTCAGCATTCAATGCCGATAACTTACCACGAGGGAGACAAATCAACAATTAAGGAGTTAGGAAAGCAGGGGAGGAGCAATGGAAGAAGTGTTGTCATGTAGGATGCGGTATTTGAAATTTGCAAAAAGTTTCACAGAAAATAGAGTAAAAAAGGCTAGAGCAAATTAACTAACTTCCAACCAAGCTTCTACAAAAGACGGAGTAGGGCAACACACCTTTATATTTTCTAAACAACAAGAAAAAGAAATAGTAGATAACATGTTGAAGTTAAAAAGCAGGCTTTTTGGTTTAACTTTAATTGATGTTTGGAGACTAGCATATCAATTTGCAGCCAAAAATAAGTTAAAGCACAAGTTAAATTATGAAACGAAAATGGACGGAAAAGATTGGTTACATGGTTTTCAAAACAGACATAAGAACAAGGTTTCGCAGCTATTTCCAGAAAAAAACTTCAATATCAAGAGACCTGGGTTTCAACAAATGAGCTGTTGAGAAATATTTTTGATTTCTTAGAGGGTTTGAAAGAAATTCTTTTTTCTCCGTGCGATGTATATAATGTTGATGAGACAGAAATAATCACTGTTTTAATAAGACATCAAAACTACTTGCCTTTTGGGTGTATTAGTAACTGCTGAAACATGTGTGAGGGCAGCCTTGCACTACATGCCAACAATGTTCTTTTCCCCTCGAAAAGCAGAAAGCCCTGCGCTTATTAATGATGCACCACCAGGTAGCTTTATGCAATATCACCCTTCTAGATGGATAGAGACAGAAAGATATTGATTCTAAAAGTTTATGCAATTTTCTAAGCCATCAGTTAGGAAATCAGTTTTCTTGATTTCAGACGGCCCTGCCACCCATGCAAAGAGCCTCGATCTGATCAACACAGCCTGAGAAAACAATGTAATTTTCTTGTGCTTGCCCATTGATTGTTTCCATAGGTTTCAGCAGTTAGACATGATTTCTTTTAATGAGTACTTATTACCTTTAAGATGTATGCCACTGGTTTGCAAAACATTCTGGAATGGTTGTCACTATTCAACAAGTTGCCAAATGTAAATTAATTTTGTTTTCAGCAGGAATGCAGACAGCAATAAATGATTTCAAGCAAAAACAGGAATTTATCTACTAAACTAAAATATTTTCCAGATCATTTGCTTGCTCCTTCAATAGCCAGAACTCGGGCCTTTTCTTCCAGACCTTTACAGAAGAGAATCTAGCATCTGGAGTTCCTACGGAAGCACAAAGTCAGTACCTCAGACTAAGTCTGGGCATTCCTTAAACTTGGCAATGTTTGGTACATCACCCAAAGATGTATTGAAAGGGTAAATCTGTCATTTAACATCATCCCCATCTTAAGCCGGTTTGCCATTTCGGATGAAAGAAAAGAACATGAAAAAGATATGCTACCAAGAAAGAGAGAGTTTGTATATAGTGCCTCTAAAAACCAAAAAAGGAATATCATAAATCTAAATGACCAAAAAGAGAAGTGAATGTGTGACAGAGATGTCGAATATTAAATAATTTTGTATTAATAATTTGTGAAACGTAATATTTTTTTTATTTGAAACATGTATTGGACACTAATTTTGTTTTTGAAATATTATTTGCTTGGTAAACTATTGGGTTTGCATAGATTAATCTATGCTTTGTAATTAGTGAATTTTGTATAATTGTTTTGCCTGATAAAATATTGGGCGTGAGTTAATTTATGTCTGTCCTTTATTTAAGGAAAAAATAGGTATTTGTTTTGAATCAATAAAGGTAATCTATATATCTTGCTAAGAAGTATTCAAGAGTAATTAGCATAAATTGTTAATATTTTGAGAACACATATATCAGATTTAATCATTAATTTTTTTTTTGTATTCATTAATTCATTGCTGAAGAATAATCCTGACTCTTTCATTGAAAAAACAAAAAACAAAAAAAAAAACAGAATCTTAACTTTAAATTGATTTTAAAATTTAAATTATTTTAAGTCAAACAATATTTATGACCTAATCAAACATTTGATGTCAGTTGAAAATTTGTAAAATATTTTTAAAAAAATATATTATTACCGCATTGTTATTTAATTATTATTAATTAAACTATTTTCAAATCTTAAGTTATAGCAGCCAAGAGGAGTAAAACCGGGTGATTAGACTTTTTCAAGATGCAATGACTGTCATATAATGATATGTTTGCATTAATATTTACTTTGTTAATAAAAAAAAATAGGGTTTATAAAACACTTTAGGTTCAAAAGCATTGAAGACAAGAGGACTCAAATAAGGATGCTAATAATAAATAGTTACTTTAGCAAACTTTTTTTATAAGGATGCTTATAGTAAATAGTTTAAGAAAAAATAAGATTCACAAAACACAGGTTCGATCCACAAAATGCAGGTTCAAGATTATTGAAAATGAAATCACTAGATATATTAACGCTTATAATAGATATACACTTTGAATTAAACAAGTAAGCATATTGAACGATTTGAGTTTCATAGAAAAAATTTCTATTTTAAAGGGTTCCTTGGCGCAAGAAGATAGGGAACTGCAGCATTAAATCAACTACAATAAATTAGAAAATTCAGATATAATTAATTATTTTATCAAGTCAATAGTAGTAAGTTACAAAAATATAAAAGCTCATTCAAATATAAAAAAAGAATAGTTGGCATAACAAATAAATTTTTCGAAATTCAACAAGGCACATCCAAATTAAATTGGTTGAAAAACATCTCTTTTTAAGAGTTAGCTGAGTAGATTAAAGCCACACAACTAGTCAGGGTAAATTACTTCATCCACCATAAAATCGTGCACATCCACTGGTATACTATGAAGAATCTGTTCTTTGAATGCAAGCCCAATTGTGTAAGGCCTGCCATGGGGATCATGAGAACAATTCTGCACATAAACATCGTAGTAACCTTTACCGCCTCCAAGTCGATGACCTCTTTTAGTAAATGCCAAGCCAGGCACTATCATTAAATCTAAGCCACCTGCAATGAAACTTGCTGGGTTAAAAAAAATCTATAATCCATACAGACATGTCCTGACTGATTCATCATTGTATAGCCTAAATTACTAAAGATAGAAACATGAATTTTCAACAATGAGTTAATGTGATGACGTAGGTATCCACTAAGGAAGGATTCAGACATGTGATCCCATCATAATAATAAATACTGAATTGGGGAAAAGATTCCTATTTATCAGCATATTTTGAGATATGCACACTTACACAAATATATATATATATATATATATAGATATAGATATATATATATATAAATGCAACCAGGTTCATAATACATAAAACATCATGAAATTTTAAATCCATTGCTCGCCTTTAGTAATTAAAATATTTAATGTGCTTTTACATAATCATAATCATTAAAATATTTAATTTTTTTTTTAAATTAAGTATAATTTGTGTAAATTCAATCAGTTAGGATATTTGCTTATTCAAATCCAGGCATTTCCTGGCCATCTTGGTTAATCGAAAGTCTAAAGAACATATTACTAATTTAAGTTTACAAATAATAAGATAAGTAAAAAAATCTATTTTGATTGCACCTATCCTAATTATAGAAAATTTATACAGAAAAAATAAAGCAGTAAAGAATTTCCCAAGGGATAGTTGGAATAAGTGCTACTGGTTGATTCAAATTTAACTTTTAGCATGTCCAGTAAATCTTTAATAGAATTAAAGAGATCTTCTAAGCCCCATACTCTTAATATACTTAAACTCTTAATATACTTAACTTTGATCAAAAAATAATTATAAAAATTCAAATAAAATTCATTTCAAAAACATGTTTACTCAAAATGTAATAAATAAAGTTTTTTTAATTGGCAAATACATTATTAAATCTTTGACTTTGTTATTTATTTGAAAGAGATGTAATTATGAATTTCGTCTGTAGCGACTTGATTTGACACACTATGATTTGCATTTGACCATTAAAATTAAATATGTTTTTTCTGACAGAGAAGAATACACACGTTTTATAGTATTAATTAAGTTTCTCAACTTTATTTGCATGTTCTGGGGCTATTCTTGTAGCACATTTTAATGCAAAGATTATTTATAATTAAATCTAATCATTTAGAAAGAAAGTCAGACAAAACCTTCTTACCGGTAGTATGAGCATCCTCTCGTTTCAAATCTTCCTCGGTAGGTGGCAGAATTTCCCAATTATCAGCAACCAACTTAGCATAATCTTCTAATGAATGTATCTTCAACATGGCCATATCATGACTATTAGGTCTAAGAAAATGAAAAAAATAAATTAAATTATTCTGAAATATTTGAGATGTTATACTTGCAAACATTTTCACTTTCTGGAATGATTTTCCCAAGTGGTAGTAAAATTATTATTCAGTTACTGCTATAGGCATAATATAATATCTGAAATGATTTATTTTCACATAAAAAATACAGTCAAACCCCGGTATAGAGAACCTTCAAGGGACTGAAATTTCGGTTCACTATAATCGGGAGCTCACTATATCCGTACGGCAAACAATTTTAACCAATTTTTCGGAACTTTTCCCCTCTATTACATATTATTTAAATAAATGGCCAATAAAACGAAATATAAAAAAAAACAATATCCTATAGTAATAAAAAAACACGTTAACTTTTATTTTTTATAACTGTCCGTCTTGCGTACAAAAAAATTAGGGATTCCCTCTATTTAGGGATGGGAAACTTAGATAGAAGAAGCAATCAAGAAAAAATGCTTATGGCTGCATTCCGCTCAATAGATGGTTTTTAAAATCGGTAAATGTATTTTATGTAGAAATTTCAAAATTACCAAAAAATGAAGAAAACAAAATCAGTCGAAGACAGGAAAAAGTTCATAATATCCAATTTCCTCTATTCTTTTGGTTCACTATATAAACAAAAAATAATATTACATGCGTATAGCAAGACACGGGAGCGAATATTTCGTTCGCTACATCCAGGTATTCACTATAAACCATTGTTCACTATTGTGGGGTTCGACTGTAGTTCAAAAAATGCAAAACTCCCGGATATAAAAACAAAATTCGATCAATACTTTATTTTAAATACATACTTACGTAAATTTTGGCACAAAACACTCTTTATCTTGTTCCAATAACTGCTCTAATATTCCAACAGTCTGAACTCGAATTTCATCATGAATACTAAGGTAGATGGATACTCTATGTGAGTTTTTGAAGCGAGAGTTAGCAAGAACCTATAAAATAATATTTACTTTAATATAAATTTTATACAATATTAACTTCATCCCAGCAAATTTTAACATGATAATAGTTGCATAACCAGGGGTCTGTCCAGGCCGAATTTACTACCGTTTAGGGGTACCTTCACAAATTCAACTTTAGGAAAAACGGTAGTTTCACAAATTAAATTTTGGAAAAACGGTAGTTTCACAAAATACTTTTTCTTAAAATTTCATTTTTGTATCCCTTAAGAAACGATAAATCCATATTTTTGTGTTGATTTCTTAATATAATTTTTAATTTTTCACAAATTACGTCTAAATTTTCACAAAATAGGTACCTGTCAGAAAAACCTAGACAGACCCCTGATAACACTAATTTCATCTCATTAAACTTTGCATAAAATTAATGATTACCAACACAAGATGAAAAAAAATGCAGAAAATTTTATGCTATAAAAATCAATACAATAAAAATATTATGACAATTACTGACAGGAGATAGAACATTTCTGAGTACGGAAACAAATGGATTGTTATAATCAATAAAAGAAATAAAATACAAAAACTAAAGTACAATAACTGCATTATAAATTTAAATTCATTGCAATATTTTACATTTGGCTTTCACTAAATTGATGATTTGTTGTTGTTCCTTATCCTCCAACTGTCTGACTGAGTTAAATAATTGAGATAATTACTTAACTCAATTTCAATTCAAATTATTAAATTCATAATTTTGAATAGTGAAAGAGAGTCATGGAAAATTCTCAAATTTTGAAATAGGTTAGACTGGTTAACATATTACTTGATGACAAGAAAATAAATATTTTTAAATTAAAATAAAAATAGAAAAAAAGCATCTTAATTTTTTTAAATTTACTTTTTATTTCAAGTTCAGCTCATTACTTAGTAGTACTAACTACTTATTCTTTTAAGCAAGTAATAAATTAAATAGAAAAAATCTAATTTAAAAAGTATTTTTCAATAACCCACCTTCTCAACATTTAAGAAAATATCTAAAACATTAAAACTGGGAGAAATTGGCAAACTTTAGTAGAGTAAGCAGCTATGAATTTGATACCATAAAATACCAAATAAATATGCTTTTTGAGGAGAGTGGATAAACAGCAATTGTTAAATAATGATTCTACAATCAGTAAAATTACTTTTTTGACATAATATTCATGCTAAAAACATTAATATTCATAATGACAGGAAATATGTATAAAATGTACAAAACCAAATAATTAAATGAAATAGATTTTAGAAATAAAATTACAAAAACAGATTAAATTAAGAAAAACAAAATCTAAATAGGAGATTAAAAATATTTATTAAAAATTTATATTGTATAAAAACAATATAAATTTAATTAATAAATATTGTATAAATTTATATGATAAAAATATATGAAATGCATAAAACCTAATTGTTAAATTAAATAGATTTTAAAAATAAAATTACAAAAACAGATTTCTGATATTTATTTTAACTTTTAAAAACTGCCATTATTACTTGTTTTTTTTATCAAAAATGTCAACACAATTCCAACAAATGCAATCAATATATAAATACAAGTAACAAAAATGAAATTTAGAAAACATAATCGAAATATGAAGTTAAACATATTTATTATAAATTTATATTGAAATCTTGACCCTACCAGATTTGTTACTACATTTGTCAAAAGTAACAAATAAAGACACTACATTCTTCAGTATTAAAATTTGATAATATAAAATTTTTAACTGAGTTTTTTCTCTCTTCATAAAATGACTGAATTCCCTAAAAGTTAGAAATAATTACTCTTGCAGGTAACGGCTTAGAAGTAGACGGCTCCCAAAGTTTAATTTTGAACTATTGAGTTTCACAATTTTTGTTACCAATATAAAAAAAAATTGATGCAAAAAAAAATTATTAAAATAAATTTTTCGATTATGTCACATTTGTATTCATAGAAAATAGGATTTTTTAAATACATAAGATCAAGAATAACAGGACAAAATAATTTTTTGTCAGGAAAATCAAGACAACTAGGAACTCTGGATTACAACAAACAAAACGTCCTTTGCTTTTAAAACTGCTTTCAAGAAACCTTTTTAATAAAAAATGAATTTTAAGAAATTATTAATGCCATCATTTTCATAAATAAAAATACAAGATAACATAAAACATATTTAAAAGTAAAATTACTAAAAGTTCTGATTCCTTTAAATCTTTTCCTATTTATTTAATATTATATATCTCTTTTTTTTTTATTTCTTCGATTAAGCTGTATTCAAATCAACCTAATGTTATAATTTGAATTTTATGCAGCTAAACAACATTCAAATTTTCAAAATTAGCTGTAACTAAAAAAATCATAACTAAAAAAATATTTTCAATTCAATAATGATATAAAGCGTAATATATATTTATATAT